AGTGATCCTGGAGGACAGAGTAGAATTCCTCCACAGAGTCTCCAAAGCTGTAAATCTTTACAGAGCCAGTCTGCCTCATCTTTCTCTCACGGAGCACTTGGTGAGTTCAAATGACCAGCTTTCAGTCAGCAGTGCTCCTGGGATAAACATAGGAACTTTAAAGTACCTACAGTGTTAAAATAAATGCTACTAATAGTCTATTTCTCCAGGTTTCCTGCTGTAGCATATTAACACTTGGTAAAAGTCATCATTATTGCTCTTAAGTGCCACTGTTGCTGCCACTATCAAAATCCATCTCATTGGCAGTCTTCCTAATTTTGCTGACCCTCTACCTTACCAAACATAATGTTCTTCTCTAGGAATTGATCCTTCCTGACAACATGTCCAAAATACAAGAGATAAAGTCTCACCATCCGTGCTTCTAAGGAGTGTTCTAAATGTACTACTTCCAAGACAGATTTGTTGTTCTGGTAGTCCATGCTACTTTCAATACTCCTAACACCATAATTTAAATGCATTGATTCTTCTGCAGTCTTCCTTATTCATTGTCCAACATCTTTGCTTCTTAACACTTTAAAGAGGTCTTTGGCAGCAGATTTGTCTAATGTAGTAAGTCATTTGATTTCTTGATTACTGCTTCCATAAACGTTGATTTTGAATCCAAGCAAAATGAGGCTTTTGAAAACGTCAATCTTTTTTTTCAATTTATCATAATGTTATTTATTGGTCCAGTTCTGAGGATTTTTATTTTCTTTACACTGAGATACAATCTTTATGGAAGGCTGTAACTTTTGAGCTTCTTCAATAAGTATTTCAAGTCCTCTTCATTTCCGGCAAGCAAGGTTTTTTCAACTCCATATCGCAGATTTTGTCCTTCTATAATTCTGATGTCTTGTTCTTCATATAATTTATCTTCTTGGACTATTTACTCAGCATGCAGATAGAATAAGTGTGGTAAAAGTATATTACCCTGACACATGCACTTCATTATTTTCAACCATTCAGCATTCCTTTGTTCTAGTTGAACAACTGTCTCTTGGCCCATGGACAGGTTCTTCTTAAGCACAATTAAGCATTCTGTTAGTCTCATTCTTTACAATGTTATCCACAGTTTTTTATAATCTACAGAGCTGAATGACTTTGCATAGTCTATAAAGCACAAGTAAACTTTTCACCTCTATCAGCAGCATGCAAATGTCTTTTTCATCACCTTCACCCATCTGGGAAATATTGTTTTTAAGGTTTATAATTTTTTAGTTGATAATGTACTTTTGTTTTTATATTTTGAATGTTTGATTCCTAGTAAGATAAATATTTTTCATATATTCATTATTTGTAGTTCTAATATGCATTGTTTAAAATTTACATTGATCAATTGATAATTGATTTTGATAATTTTATTAATGCTTTGTAAGAACTCTCCTTTATTTTAAAAAGTATTTTTTTCTTAAATATGTTGTATTTTTTTCTTATGCCTGTCTTTTAAATTCTATCTATGTGTTCTTAAAAGTAGAGGAAATACCATTTAATGTTTTACAGTCTATTAACATTTTCCCTTATGATTTTCATATTCTGTGTTCATGATTAGAGAATCCTTACCTAAGATAATAATACATGTGTCTGTTACTTTATATTTAAATTAAATTTAAATTTAATATAAACAAATAAATAAAGCACAAGTGAACATCTTTCTGGAATTCTCTGTTTTCATCCAAAATCAACTGTTGTCCACAATATCTTCTCCTCCCACGTCCTCTTTTGAATCTGGCTTAAATTTCTGTTGCTCCCTTGTCGACATACAGTTGCAACCATTTTTAAATTATCCTCAACAAAATTTTGCTTGCATATGATATCAACAACAGTGTTCAATTATTTCTACATTCTGTTGGGTCACCTTTCTTTGAAATGGGCATAAACACAGATTTTTTTCCAAATGGTTGGTCAGGTAGCTGTCTTGCAAATTTCTTGGCATAGATGAGTGAGAGCCTCCAGTACTGCATCAGTTTATGGATAGATTGCAATTTATATTCCATCATTTCCTGGAACCTTGTTTTTAGTCAATGCCTTCCTTAAGTGCAGCTTGGACTTCTTCCATCAATACCATGGGCTCTTAATCATATGCTACCTCTTGAAATGGTTTAACATCAACCAATTCTTTTTGATACAGTAACTCTGTGTATTCCTTCCATCTAAAAGTTATTAGCGTTGATAATTCTAAACATTTATAGTAAATGACGACAAAGAAATTGCTACTTATAAAAGGGGAATCCTCTGGCCTACCTGATGGCTTTTAAAGGTACCAGGCTACAAAGGAACCATAAAAACCCTACCCATCCTTCCCTAACATCTCATATGTGTATACCATCCTAATACATATATGCACATTCCTCCATGGAACACCTAGAAGGCAAACCATATTCAGTGGAGATACAGCTCTACCAAGGACAGTCTGAAAAACTCAATCTGAAACTTTTATACTAGTTTTAATAAATCAAGAAACATGTCTGAAAAGTACCTAGAAGAATGATGAAGTTCATTTTCACTGATCTGAATTTTATCATTCTTCTAGGGACCTTTCAGACCATCCTTGGTATATTTATATCTTACTGAAATCTATCTATGCAGCCAATTTCATTCTGAATAATTTACTTCTGTAACTCAATATATACTATTCCTTAAAATGACTTTAAAATTTAATCATAAAAGTCAACAAAATAAAGGATTATATATTACTACTTATCTTCCATAAATTCAAAATAAAAACATGTAAAAAATAAAATTTGACCAGATCATTAATATCAAAAATATCCTGAAATTGGTAGTAGCTATAATAAATATGAGTAGATATTTTCCTTTCCAAAAAAAAAAAAGGATTTCATTTTGAAAACCTCCATTAAACAATTGGCTTAAATAAAATGCATTATTAAGATTAATTATCCCTATTTCTTTGTACTTTTCCAATACAACTATTTTAAAAAATCTATCACTGTCAAATCAGTTCCAACTCAAAACAACCATATATGACAGAGTAGACTAAACCCATAGAGTTTCAGAGGCTGTAAACTTGATGGAAGCAGACTGCCACATCTTCTCCCAGAACGGATGGCTCAAATCACCAGGCTTTCAGTGAGCAGTCAAGCACTTAACCACTGCACCACCAGGACTCCTTGTTATTGTTGCTGTTAAGTGCATTCAAGTCAGTTCTGACTCACAGCAAACCTGTAGGGTTCCTGAGGATCGGCTGGTGGATTTGAACAGCCAATCTTGTGGTTACTAGTTCAATGTTCATCCTACAGTGCCACACCAGGACTATTCAGAGCTCCTTATTAAATTATTATAAAATTTTTAATTATGTTATGTGGTCCATAAAATATGGGTATTCTAAATAATCTACACTGTTGTTATATTTACACTATACTTTTGAATCATATTTGAAGAAGTAAAAGCACTGTCACAAATCACAAAGTTTTTACTGGTTCCAAACAAAAACAAACTTTCAGTTTAAAAGTTAGAGAGTTAAGTCTATTCTTACATGTTTTTTCCTTATATTTGATCATGTATTTATAATACATATAATTACATGAATGACAAAGCATATTTTCATAAAAATAGATAAAGCAGAAAAAAAATTCTTGAAAGTCAAGGGCTGGTGTTTAAATTTAAAAGTTTAATAGAAATCTTTCTATTGAACAACTCTCTTCTGGAAAGCAAGCTGGGTTGATCAGAACACCTCACTCCAAGTCCCAGATCTGTCACCTCTTAACTTTGTGATCTTGGACTAGTCCTTCCATGTTTGTACCAGAAATAAGCTAGATAATAATAACCTGCTCTTCCTAATTCCTCAGGATTTACTATTCCTAATTCCTTACTTGGATTTGTTCATAATGAGCAAATGTAAATGAAAGAGTTTCATAAAGTAGAAAACATTGTATAAATGGAAGGTTTCGTTTGTTTGTTTTAGAAATTGACATTTTAATTTTAATAGTTATTTTGGCACCTGCATACTATTCATTTTCAAGCTTCCTCTTAAATCATAACCTGAAAAATGCTCATAATCGTCTTTAAAGTTCATTTACTGCCATATTTCAGAATATTCTAAACATAGGAGCTCAGTTGCTAAACTTACATAATTAAAGATAAATTAACTAGATAATAAGAATCTGTACTTACAGCCCCAAGTTCCTTCTCTCCTAATTCACTGTGTATTTGTGAATTTTATACCCAACTGGGAGTTAATCAACCATATCTTTCTTTTTCACTCCTGCCACATTTCCTTTCACTCTTCCCTATCTTAGTCCTAGCCTGCAGCAATTCTTACACTGAAGAATCCTCTAAACTTCCTTTTCAGTGGCAGAAAAGTTCTTTAGAAAACACTGAAAATGATGAAGTCCACCTAAATATGGCTTAATTTTTTTTCTGTCTTCTTATATAGATGACTGTGATAAATATGCTTGCATTGATTTTGTGATCCAACGAGACTGTTGGCTCTTGAAGGCAAAACCTGGCCTGCTCTCTCTATATCCCAAAGAAACAAGGCAGTGTGTTCTGCATATAGTCAAACTTCAATGATTATCTGTTGATTTTAATCTCATACAAGAAAAACAAAATACAATGCTGGAAAATGAACCTTCAAACAAAGTATTTACTTGGCAATGTCTGAAGTGTTTAAAATTTAACTGTACAATTCTTGCAAGCAGATAATTCTTAACATTTGTTAGCTAATGATTTTTTTTTTTTTCCACTTAAATGTCCAGCAACCTGGAGCAAAACAAAAATTAAAGAACTGCCTTCTTAAGTTTCTCTAGGAGGTTTCGAAGATGAGCACAAACTAAGAGGATACCAGAGTGAAAATCAAGAATCACGGTAAGACAGGTCTGGAATGCCTGTTGGGTTGTCAATAACAAAACTTATGAAATACAAACAACTTTTATGCAAAACCTTAAACAGAACAGAAAACAATGTTGAAATCATTTTATTAAAAAATAGAAAATTTATCTTACAATGCTTTTATCATTTCTTCCTGCATCTTTTGTAAGGAGTCCAGGAGCAGAGGAAGTGTGGTGTCATAATACTGATTCTGATGAAGCTTTGCCCCTTTCAATGCCAATACATATTGATTATGCAAAATATGAAGCTTCATTGTAGCCTTGTCATAACGTTCCTTGGCCTTTTCAATTTCCTTCCCTAAAAAATTTGAAGAAAGAAAAGAGATAAGAAAAAAAAAATTTTCACAATGTGGGTTACCACTATCTTATAATTACTTCATATATTTCATAAATAATCAACAGAGAGTTGAACATATACTATGTGATCAACTCTATGAAAAGTAATGGTGATTTGCCAGTAATTCAATACTAAGAAGGGGCTAAGATAAAGGAATCATGGAGTACAATTCTGATGTAGTGAATTATATCGTATGCCTCTTCTAGTCTCATCTTTGTGGTGGTGGTTATGTGCGTGGAGTCGGTTCTGACTCATAGTACAGGATTTCCGAGGCTGTAAATCTTTATGAGAGCAGAAAGCCTCATCTTTCTTCCATGGAACAGCTGGTAGTTTCAAACTGCCGACCTTGAGGTTAACAGCCCGATCTGTAACCGCCACACTACCAGAGTTCCTTCTTATCTTTGTAACTCCCACCAAACAACTCTTTTCCTGATAAGAAGGTGGGAGGAAATACTGATTGGATGACATGATTCAGCTGTGGATGATAAAAGAGTTAATTATAATTGTAAAAACCTGAAACTCTAGGGTGGTTTTAAAATAAGCCATATCAGAAGGAGGAGGCGGGGGGTCTCAATACCATCAAAGAAGAGTCAGGAATGGAGCACATCCTTTGGACCCCAAGAACCCTATACATTGGATCTCCTCAGCACAGGGACAGAAAGTTGTGATACCAGAGGAGGAGCAGCAGCAGCAGAACCAACAACCAGTGCACAAAACAGAGCAGTGGACTTCCCAGCACACAGCGCAAGTACAGCTGACTGACTTTGGGCTTGTCTGCAGAGTAGAGCATTGAAATGAAGGAGATTTGTTGATCCACAGAGCTAGAACTGAGTGCTCTCGGACTCAGGCTTAGGACACAGTGTGTCCTGTGGGCATTCAGCAGCAGCTAACTGTAACAACTATGCCCTGAGCATTTTCTCATCTTGTTAACATCCCTAATAAACCTCATACCTGTTAGGATTATTAAACTCAATAGAAAAGGGAAGAGTGGTTGGCGCTTCATAGTTTTATAACACTAAATGGTAAATATAAGTTAATGTACAGTAAAAACAAATTGACATATAAGGTCATTCTCATCTTCAAGGAAATTATACCAAGTTCAAACAACAGTGAACATGTAAAACCATGAAAACAAAAAAGTTAAATAATGTAAAGTTTTGAGATCTGTGTTGGAGATGTCAATAAAGACAATACAGAATATTCAGCGGCAACATCATGAAGAAAAGAGACCTTAAAAATTGGGGCACTTATTCTGAGACACATGAAGTACGCCAAGGGCAGAAACGAACACAAACCTTTCCAATAGACTGGTATGTCCTACTACCAACAAATCCTATTGTTTCCAAAGACATTTACTATCATTTACTGCTCCTACAGAACTGTATACAAATATTTTATACACTATAATTCTTTAACCATAGTCTACTAGCTAATTCTGCATATGGTGGTAATGCTGTGCTATGGAGTCGGTTCTGACTCATAGTGATCCTGTATAGGGTTGCCGAGGCTGTAAACCTTTATGGGAGCAGAACACCTCATCTTTCTCCCCTGGAACCACTGGTAGTTTCGAACTGCTGACCTTGAGGCTGGCATCCCAACTCATAACCACTATGCTACCAGAGGTATTAATAACTGTCCAAGTTGCTCCAAAAATGTTGCCCTAAATTATCTATGTACAAAGTCACAGATTTGTTAACTTAATCTTTCTAATCCTTCTCAGTGTTGAAGTTCTGGAAGTTAGCCTCACAGTGGTAACCTGGAAGGAGGTGAGTAATTATATTAATTTAGGTCTGACAAAGGGATCGGAAAAAGAAAAACCTTATCCACAAAAGAAGTGGTTTTTTCCCATAATCTATAGGTTGATACTGTAACGTCAGCAGCTCTAATATACCAACCACTCCGCAGGACAAAGATGAGGCTTTCTGCTCCCATAAAAATTTATAGTCTCAAAACCGACTCAACAGCACACAACTACCATCACTACCACCAAAGAATAATATATTTTAAATCATGACCCAATACATAATCATACAAATATTTAAATATGTAACTGACATAATAATATGCAATCAGGATGCATTAATTCTTCATAATAAGCCCCTGTGATTGTCCTGTGTCCTTGGAGAAAATCTATGAAGATTACCCCTTTGGAATCCCAAAACATAATTGCCATAACTTCTGAGCTAACATCTCTGCCTTTAATTTAACCTACCCAGCAGATATGCTTGGATATCACTGTTTTGACTGGAAATTTTTGTTTTTAAGGCACCCTTAAAAAGTCCTGGTGTGGGTGGCACTGTGGATTAATGCATTGGACTGCGAAGTCAGTTTGAACCGCTAGGTTGGTAGTTCAAGCTCACCAACTGCTCCTCAGAAACCCTAGACAGGGTATCAATGGGTTGGAACCAACTCGATGGCACTTAACAGCTAAAACAAAGAGACTAATATGAGTGTATTATTGTCTAGGCCATCCAATGATCACAAAGACGTGTTTAAACACATTTTGTTTGAAATAAACCTGTTCATGTCTGTATTCCAATCTATGTAGTACTAATTTTTTGCTTGGCCTTGTATTGTCCGTTCAAAGGTATAACTGGTAAATTCAGTGAATCCCATGTTTTGTATAGCTTTAAACAATATCTTTAGATGTAGTCTATTATTCCTAACTAATTCCTTAGGGTTTTTTGTTGTATTTTTTAAATTTTTTAATAAAACTTCAGGAGTCAAGTGTTCCACATAAACATTTTCATGGAGACATTTAAAATACCCATCTGTCCCCCTATTTACACAGATTTTTAAAAACTGCACACTACCCATCTGTCTTTCTAGCTGGTGAAGAATGATTCACTAAATACACAAGGCTTAACTTACTAATATTTTATAACCTACATTAAGATTAGGAAATTATGGATTTTCCCAGAAATATTTTCTCTTTATGATACAGTGGATGTCAAAGAAGTTGAAAACTATTATAATCAAAATCTACTTATAAAAAATTTACTAATGACCATTAACACTTTAGAAAAATGTTAAGTGACTTTGAAAAAACCAAGGCAGAATACAGTATATTAAAATAATTTATAGTGACAATATTTTTTTTTTTTTAAAGAGAAAAAAAAATGCAACCATGAAGACATGGGATGAGTTTGGCCATGTTCCATAGACCCCCCAATGACCTGGAGATGAGAGAAAGAGGAGGAAAGGCTGGCTGGTTTGAAGTTCAGGGAACATGTGAACTCCCAAACCCAAGGAACCTGATCTAACCACTGGGGGCTAGAGTTAAGAGTGAAGTGGCCAGCTGATCTGAAGTGGGGGGGAACACATGGGAGAATTATAAAACTTGCAGATAGTACCCATGTGACCTAGCTTGGATGGCTCGCTGACCAGAACACTATCAAATGAAGATATAGAAGTCTGATACAGGGAACAAGCATAAATTGCTACAATTTGATGAACTGGACCTTTGCTTATGGATGAAGTTGCCTAAAATTCCAACCACAAGGGAAGGATTCTCAAACCAAGGATCAAGCTTGCCTCCTCAGTACATTGGGTTGATAGGGATACACAACTTAAAACTTCCACTATCAAAAATGGGGACTAACTATAAAGGCACGAAAATGCCTGGCTTACAAGCTTTCATGCGGGGGCTTAATGTCAGATAAGGGGAGTAAGGTAGAATCCCCACAGAATAGTTTTCCTCTTGTCCAGATGGGTCTGGTGATGATGGGGATAGGATTTTATGATTAAATTGTGAGTAACTGTTATCACAACTGTGATTGTCACAACTGTAAATGTAGAAGAGGTGTTAACTAAAAGGGGTGAGTAGTTAATCTGTCATTTCAGAGGTAAGCACTTAATCCTTCATTTTAGGAACAGAGGACCCTAGGACCATCAAGATGGAAGAGCATGAGAGGAGCCAGGGACCCTAACCAGAAAAGCAGCAGCAACAACATGGACTATAGGCCCATGGACTGAGAAAGGCAGTGTGCCTTTCAAAATGTAAAATGTGCTCTTTGAACATTTAAATGAATATATAGTTTCAATGTGGAATGTGTACAGTAAAAAAAAAGAAAAAAAATTAACGGTAATAAAGGTAAATACTGTTAGCTGATGGTGCACGGTGGGGATTGTAATCATTGCAATGGTTTGATGAATATAAAACTAATGATCTGCTCTATAAACCTTCACAATAAAATTCACAATATAAGCTTTAATTTAAAAAAAAAGATAATGGGGAAAGAAAACTTGAGATTTAAACTGAATTTCAGGGTATGTCTACTTTTTGGGTTTGTTTTGTTTTATTTCAACTGTACCTCATGTATTTGGATGCAGGGTGTGCTTCTATGCAGCTATCTATCTACATACCTATCTATCTCAATCTCTTTCCATTGTTTCCTCCCTTCTAAATATGAACAAAGAGCTTCAAACACGTCTTCAGTTACCATGATTTAGGAAGAGATTCTATGGTAGGTATAGTTTTCCTGTTTTGTTTGAATAAATATTTGTGGTACAATAGAGACTGTAATACTTGGTGTGGCGCTGTAGGACAAGCACTGGACTGCGAACCACAAGATTAGCAGTTCAAGCCCATCAGCCTCTCCTCACAACTCTACACAAGGTCGCTATATGAGTCAGAACTGACTTGATGACACTTAACAACAATAACAACAGAGACTACGTAAGTAAATCCCAGAAATGGTAATGCCATGTGAAAACCAAAGCTGCAATTCCAACTTTAAAAACTCCTTTAATTAATAAGATTCTTATTAATTAAATTAACCATAATTAATTAACCATAGCTTTTTGGTTCAGAATACCTTCAAACAGGTGTAATATTTTTCTTAGCTTTTAAATAACTACATTTGAGCTTAAAATTAATTTGAAGTATACAGAATGACTAAATTTTTACTGACAGACACAGAATTGTATCTCTGTTGCAGTATGCTTCGTTTAATGACAAG